TTATGGCCATATCACGTTGAAACACTGGTTCCCGTACGATCACCGAAGTTAAGCAACGTCGAGCCTGGAGTTTAACTAGATGGGTGACCGTTTGAGAATACCAGGTGTTGTAAGCTTAGATGTGCGGGTGGTGTAATGAATAATGGCTCAGAATTTCTTAATCAGAGAACCAAATACTAATTCCAGTTAGGTTCGTTATATTCACTTACTCGAATCTACCTTTGGGAAAGCTATGGGTCAACTTCTTTACCCCTCAGTTATGCGTTAATTAGTATCACTAAATTATTATTATCTCCCCCACCCCAACCACAAAAAAATTCTTACAATCTGAAAATATTTTCTGGCTTTAAATAGCCTCCAAACGGTTGATAAAGCATAAAAAACGAATCAATCAGCCAAAGACTGTATTCCTTAGTTCTACCAGTTGAAAACTTTACGGCTAATACCCACCATGCCATATACACAGGGTCGAAACCTTCTAATTCTTTTGTATTCCATTCGTAAGAAGGAAATTCCGTTTAAATTCTTCTTCCTGAGAATCGCTACTTTATAAAACAGACTCGAGGGGATACTTCCCCGATCAATACGCTATAAAGCAAACTGTTATCTATCCTACATATACTGCACTTACTTTCCTCCTTTAACGTCCATACAACAACTTCATTCAGTAACCTCCTACCTTGAGTTGCTCTTAGGCCTTGGATTGGGTGGGCGTTTACTTAAAAAAGAAGAAATATGACATGACTACATTTTATATTCGGACTATTTTACTCATCATTGTTGTTATCGCAACGTTTCGACTGTTGTGCCCTCCGTCCTTCATCAGGTGTATATCAATCCAGATAGCCTACAGAGAATTCTGAACTGAACCCGTCATTTAATTTACAGGGGTAGGCGATTCTCGTTCCCTTGCCCTTATCTGTTTCTTATTTTTAGTACTGCTCAGTTCTTGCTCGTCCTGTTGCCACTGAAGCCAAGTGCACAATGCCTAGCCAGGGATTGAACTTGCAATTACTATATCATCAAATCCACAATCCAACACTTTAATCCACCAGGCTTCCGTCGGAAGGATCTCGAGGACAACAGTCAGAATGTAAATATTAACAAAAATAATGGTAACTCCTCATGCCAGAAATTAAGACAGAATATGGCATGGCTTCGTATTTTAGGCTGATGAGAAGGAACCGTGCCCATAAAAATGTCAGCTGTCTGACAAACATTGCAATTTCGAAACTACTATCTATAACACGATTGCTATAAAGCAGACGGTAAAAAAGAATAAAAAATAAAAAAAAAGGTAGAAAGAATTTATAATTAAAATCTATACGTAGTGAATATTTTCTATAGGAAAAATTGTCTTGCTTACCGTTTACCGGACATACTGATGAAAATGATTTGTCGTCTGCTTACCGAGTAATCAAAAAAAATTACACGGAACAATTAAATTTCCGAACCCGAATAATTAAATTTCCGAAACAGCAATGCGAAATTTAATATCATCATCGAATAAAAAGGATAATATATTGTAATCCACATGTTAATTTTTCAAGTGTGCCATTGTAAAAAAAATTGTTCGTAAATTCAAACAATCTGGGTCGATGGCAGATGTGAAAAACGCCATTGCGTGCTTATTTACGCCGTTCAGCTGAAAACATTGCTGCAGTGCACGAAATTGTAACCGAAAATCCAGACCCCTCTATTCGTCGTCGCGCGCAGGAACTGAACCTCTCCACAACAACGTTACATCGTTTCCAATTGCACTTTAGGTTGGTTGATTATGTTGATAAAAAAAATCGCAAAGTGCTCGAAATGCATTTCTGTTTGAACGTCCATTTTCGTAATAGGTTTCGATAGCTTTAACATGTTGTTTGATTGTTAACCTTTCCATGGTTGAAATTGCCAAAAAAAAAAGAAAACAATCATTAGACGCTTAAAGGATTTTTTTTCAGAATCTAGTGTGAGGATGGAAATTGCTAGCTTGATTTTCTCAGAATCCTGGGTGAGCAGGAAAAAGTTAATAGCTTGGTTTTGTGAGAATCCAGGGGGTGGCTGTATGAAAAGGTGCTAGCATGGTTTTATGGTATTGAGAGTTACAAGGCTGTTTTTCCATCTTTGGACTGTTGGAGCTTGGTCAGAATAGAGATAAGTTGTTAGGCTCTGGTTATCTAGATTATTATTCTGATTGCAGTGACAGAGTGGAATGTTAGCATCTTGATCATGTCATTATTCACGTTACATGAGCTATCCATTTTAGTTGTTGCCGCTGTTGGTAGTCCTCATGTGGTTTATATTATTTGGTACTGCTCTTTGTGATTCTGTTGTACCAGTCCACAATTTTCAAAGCAGGGTGATTTTCGCCAAGTCCCCCAAACTTTACTCGCACAAAGCCTTTTTTCACCGTTCAGGAAGAGGATAAAAGAGACATGCAAAATGTTTACCGTTTCCCTATAAGGAAACATTTGGCATTCATTAGCGTCGCAACAAGTACTGTTTTCGGTTGAAATTTATGAAATCTTTCTCTTAAAACGCTTTGTTTTTTTAAAATAGGTTTCTCAAGTCTATTAACTGTTATCTCTCTTTCCAGTATTGATTGGCGGGGATTTTCTAACCTTCTTTTTGAAGCAATGTGGAATTAAAATTAAGTTTCTGACCATCTGACTTTTATCTTGCTTCAAAGCAAAATTTAAAAAAAAACCTCATAAATTTTGACCCATATTTGAGTAGATGCTCCTCCATTTATTTTTAAACTGTATTTTATTTCGTCTACCGGCCTGAACATTCGAGAAATCGTATTAAAGAAAATGCGCTCTCCGGCTGGATTCAAACCTGCGTCCCTCTTTGCAGGAGAAACCATCATTTGATCCGGCCTACTTTAACTTGTCACATTCAAAGAGCTTCATAATCAAGCACATAAACACGAAAGGTAATATTAGTCGTTTTCCTATAAGGAAAACCAAGCAGCTAGTATTGTTTTCGATTGAAACTTGATGGGATTTTCCTTTCTAACTTGAAGTGAGGATGAATGTTAACATCTTGATTATGTCATTATTTTTCTCTTCTCAGGTCCAGTAGCTGTTATCGCTCTTTCCACTATTGATGGGAGTTTCCTTCCTAACCTTTTATTTGAAGTCGTGTGGAATGTCAACATCTTGATTATGTCATTATTTTCTCTCCGTGTTACACGATGCTATTTTAGTTGAAACTGCTGTTGGTATTGCTCAATTGATATGGTTTCTGTTATTTGGCAAATTTCTTTTGCTTGTGATTCTGTAGCGTCAGTTTATATTGTTCAAAGTAGGATGATTTTTGCCAAAATCCTCAAGCTTTTCTCGTTCAAAGCCTTCTTCACCATTGATCTTAGGAAGCGGTTGTATACAGCTGACAGTTTAAATATTTCTGAACGGGTTTTGTCACCATGCTTAGAATATTGCTGCCACATATGGTCCGATGCCCCCTGCTATTTACCGTGAGCTCCTATGTTTTTTCTATAAATACTTTCATGGTAGCTAGAGTTTTTGAATTTGACGTCGAGTTCTCATCAATTTACATTTGAGCTGTCGTAAATTATATGCTAACAGTTTCTTCTCTCGCACTTCTTGCTTGTGGAACTCCCTTTCATCTCGTTGCTTTCAGCCAATTTTAATCTGCAAAAGTTTAAATGCAATGTCAATCTACTGTCTACCTGATTACTCTCTTCTCTTTATCTTCATTATTAATTTTATGTTCTTAATTCTTCCACACGATGTAACCCCCCCTTCTGTTTTAGTAGCATTACTGCCTTGCTTGGGGGTGATTCCAAATAATAATAAAAAATAATGACAACTCCTAATTACAGAAATTCATACAGAAATTATCTTTTCTATCATATCTGTTACAAAGTTTATGATTTGATTTGTTTGTTTAACGGCATATCAACACCTTATGGGTCATTTAATGTCGAAATGTAATTTTCTTGGGAGTTTTGAAGTCATAAAAAATAGGGATGTTATTTTGCTTTCACAGTTGAGTACATGGTAGATGATACTCAGATTTTGTGCATAGACTTGTGTGGACATGATTACTAGAGGCGGTGATATGTGTGTTTTATGTTGTAGTTATGTTGAAGTTATATTTTGGAATACAGTTTGATTTCTTTAAGAAATTGTTGGATGTTATATGGATTAATGTCATGAAAAAAATTCTTTCGTGTTGTTTGTTTGATTTTTTTAGCGGCATATCAATCTCTTTAGTTAATGTAATGCCGGAATCTAAATATTCTGAACACATTTTTCGGGGTTTCAACTGCAGATAAAATGCATTGTTGGTCATTTTGCTATAAAATATATTGTTGGTCATTTTGCTATAAAATGTATTGTTGGTCATTTTGCTATAAAATGTATTTTGGGTTATTCTACTATAAATATGTAGTACTAATAAACATTATTTTGTATTTTTTACTATAAAAATGTATTTTATACTTTCATAGTGTTTTTTTTTTGTTTGGGGGGTCACTATTGCCTATTGGGATCCCTAACCGGGTGCTACCACACCGGGTCAAGGTAGTCTTGGGAACAACTGCAGAACAACAGGTGGTTACATGCTTCTCAAAACCTCAGTCTCCTGTTCAGAAACTGCCGGATGAAGTTTATCGTCATACCCAGGACTAGTTACAGAATTTATGGGCAACGATGACAGCCGGACGGTTTTATTTCGCTTCATATTTCGTGACCTTTGTAATTGTATTTGATTTAGGTATTACTAGCAGCCATACCCAGTTGGTCGATCAAAAAGTGTTCAATTAGAATGGAGCAAAAACAGCATCATGTTTAGATTTAACAGAGTCTACATTCTTCAATTACTTTAAAGTACTTTCATTAAAAACATTTCAAATTAATGCAGTTACTGATATAGAAGTAGTCTATATTTATTCAATCGATGTTAGCCGAGGACATGAAGGGGATAAAACAGGCAACATGAAGACCCACTTCAGACAACAATTATTTTGGAGTTTTTTGAAATTCAATTTATCAGTGTGCTACACAAATGTAAAAGAGGATACATTTATAAAGCAATTGTTAAGTTTGATAAAAATTGGTTGAAATATCAACGAAAAAAATAAGAAAGAAACCATAAAA